GGGCTGGGTGGAGGAAGGGAGCTGGGAGGGGGCGGCGTCCGGGGGGGACACTGGGGGAGGAGAAAGGGAGTGAGATGGAGGGGGAGATGAAGGGAGGGAGGGAAAGATATATAAAGAGAGAAAGAGAGAAAAAGTGTGATAAATACATATATATACATATACACACACACATATATATATATATATATTTATATATATATATATATATATATATATATATATATATATATATATATATATATATATGTGTGTGTGTGTGTGTGTGTGTGTGTGTGTGTGTGTGTGTGTGTGTGTATGTATATATATATATATATATATATATATATATATATATAGAGAGAGAGAGAGAGAGAGAGAGAGAGAGAGAGAGAGAGAGAGAGAGAGAGAGAGAGAACAAGCAAGAGCGAGCGAGAGCGAGCAACAGAGAGAGAGAGAGAGAGAGAGAGAGAGAGAGAGAGAGAGAGAGAGAGAGAGAGAGAGAGAGAGAGAGAGAGAGAGAGAGAGAGAGAGAGAAAGCGAGCGAGCGAGAAAAAAATACGAGAAAAAGTGTCACAAACACGAGCATATAAATGATATACATCATTTCAATTACCTGAACCGAAAATGATCTACTCACGGGCACAATACTGAATATCAGTAACAAAGTTGTTCACAGCGATGTAACCTTCCCGTCCGTCCCATGAGTCTGCTTGCATCACTAACATGTAGTTCTTTGGCGGACTCTGTTTACAACATAAATGAATGAATAGATTTGTAAATAAACGAAGGATAAATGGTCGTTGGTCCATCCTATCATCTGGAGTGCATTATCCACCGGAAATAAAATTCTTGCCAAAATAAAAGAGAAGACAGATGTGCTTTCTGCTCTTAAAAAAATGTGATGGGAAAGTAATTTTTTGACAGATAATACATATCGTAATACATTTCATCCACAAGGCGATTAATAGGAAAATAAAAATAAAAATCAACTGATAAGTTACTATTTATAAACAGAAATGAAATAAAAAGAAAATTGAAGAATTAGTGAAAAAAATAAATAAGGCCTTATACCAACGTATAGATGCCGCATTTGCATAGGTGCAGATACGTTAGAGAAAACTAACTACAATGAATAAGAAAAACCTACATTAACAAGAGAATAACTTAATCAATAAACGCATTAAGAATAATCACAAACAGCATGCAACTCAGCAAGACTCACCCGCACAAGAACCCGAGCCTCATGCCACGTAGAGTCAGCATAGTCTCCGGTCATGTAGAGTTCCCACAGCACTTGTTCACCAACATCGCCTACGTCCGCTATCAGCACGGATAACTTTCCAGCGTGTTCGGAAGAGGCCTACAAAAAAACAAGACAGTTTTCTTTTTTATGTGATGATGAAAAGTTGGATATCAGTTATATGGCAGAATTATAATTGGCTAAAATTTCTAGAAGGTTTATAATATTCAACTAATTTTGATCTCTACTGTTTTCATTGTACGTCATTTATCATAAATCAATTATACGCCAACCGACATATTATACAAAACGTTCATTTGAAATCATAAATAACCTGCATAAAAGAACAAAAAAAAATGGAAAACACAAAAAATACAGAATACAGACTTACAGCAAACGAGAACTTGAAGCAAACTTCCTGCGTGATTCCGTCCGACACGATGGCGGGGCTGCTAAGGCGAGCGATGGAGCCGCTGGCGTGGTGCGGACCCGTCTCGAACAGGGCGTAGTGCGCTGGGGGGATATCGCACGTTAAAAAGGTCTCTCTACGTGTCTACCTGTCATCTACCTCCAGCTACGTTTGTATGTATGTGTGTGTGTGTGTATATGTATGTGTGTATATATGTGTGTATGTATATATATGTGTGTGTGTGTGTGTGTGTGTGTGTGTGTGTGTGTGTGTGTGTGTGTGTGTGTGTGTGTGTGTGTGTGTGTGTGTGTGTGTATGTGTGTGTGTGTGTGTGGGTGTGGGTGTGTGGGTGTGGACACATGTGTTATATATATATATATATATATATATATATATATATATATATATATATATATATATGTATATATATATATATGTGTATGTGTTTATCTATCTATCTATCTATCTATCTATCTATCTATCTATATATATATATATATATATATATATATATATATATATATATATATATATATATATATACATATATGCGTCTTTGTGTTTGCGTGTGTGATCACTGACCGTGAATCACAGCTAACACCATTTCATTCCCCAAGGACCAGCGCCACTCACTCTTCTCCCCGTCGCTCGCTGGTCCGTTGAATCGGTGGAAGGTCTGGCCGTCCGACACGACCCACTGCAGGCCGGTCTCCTCGTTGGTCCAGAGGCAAGTGGTTTCGTCCGTGAAGTCGCAGTTTCCTTGGATGTTCGGGCAGTTGCCGTCGGCCAGGAGCAGGTCGTCCAGTTGGATCACGGTCTCGTGGTCGTCGCCGACTTTCCCTTCGAATACGACCTGTTGGTGTATGAAATTGATAGAGCGGATGTATCCATTTGATTGGATTCTTCAATATAATAAATTGATTCGTTTCGTCTAGATTTCAGTGTTGCATCAAAGAAATTTAGTTACTTGGTCCAGCGAGTCTTTACCTTGATATTTTCGCCAAAGAATTCGAAGATGTTGATGTAAGACGCCCTCCAGGTCGGCTGAGCCATCTTCACAAGGGTGTTCTTCTCGCTGACTGTGTGTCCATTGGATTCCACCCAAACTGTTAATTAAAAAATGGTCTTAAGTGGTCTTAAGGATGCCATTAAGTTATCTAGGGAGAATCAGATTAATGTATTTTTTGGTATCATATTTGTTTTGATTTTCGTGTATCGAGACTTCTGAGAGAATATTGTGTTATATGGTGGGATATCGTGGATTATTTATGGTGAGTCACTTTAATTTTTTTTTTTTTTTTTTGTCATAACCTTCTCAAAGTGAATACTGATGCCTTTCCTCTTTTCTTCCCTGCATATATCTGAAATACCTTATCTGCAGCAACATCCAATTCGCATTATTATATATATTATATATATATATATTATATATATATATATATAATATATATATATATATTATATATATATATATTATATATATATATATATTATATATATATATATAATATATATATATATAATATATATATATATAATATATATATATATATTATATATATATATATAATATATATATATATATATAATATATATATATATATTATATATATATATATTATATATATATATATTATATATATATATATTATATATATATATATTATATATATATATATATATATATTATATATATATATATTATATATATATATATTATATATATATATATAATATATATATATATATAATATATATATATATAATATATATATATATAATATATATATATATAATATATATATATATATAATATATATATATATATTATATATATATATATTATATATATATATATAATATATATATATATATAATATATATATATATATAATATATATATATATAATATATATATATATATAATATATATATATATAATATATATATATATAATATATATATATATATAATATATATATATATATAATATATATATATATATAATATATATATATATAATATATATATATATAATATATATATATATAATATATATATATATAATATATATATATATATTATATATATATATATATTATATATATATATATAATATATATATATATATTATATATATATATATATATAATATATATATATATATAATATATATATATATATATTATATATATATATATATATAATATATATATATATATATTATATATATATATATATATATAATATATATATATATAATATATATATATATAATATATATATATATAATATATATATATATAATATATATATATATAATATATATATATATAATATATATATATATAATATATATATATATATATTATATATATATATATATTATATATATATATATTATTATCTTTTCACCAGAAACAATATGAATAATCACAAAAACAATGAAATACGAATAATACCAAGACGAATAACACGTGAATAACTTCAAAACGAATTAAACAAAAGAAAAATCAAACAGAATAATGAAATACGGATAATTACAAGACGAACGACGCGCGAATACCTTTAAAACGAAATAAAGCAGAAACGAAACCAAATAAAGCTAATAAAAAAGTAACACCAAAGGGCCGCCTCCTCCTCCTCCTCCTCCCCTCCTCCTCCTCCCCCTCCTCCTCCTCCCCTCCTCCTCCTCCTCCTCCTCCTCCTCCTCCTCCTCCTCCTCCTCCTCCTCCTTCTCCTCCTCCTCCTCCTCCTCACCCGTCAGCGTCGCCTCCTCCTTGCCCTCAGACCGGTAGAAGAACGTCAGGCACTGAGCTGCGTTGCTCTTCAGAATCGGTGTTTTGATCGTCTTCGTCTTGACTTTCCCTCCGCCGCCGCGAAGTTCGAAGACGTGGCCTGTGGGTTTCATTGTGGTTTAATGTTAGTTGAATGATATTGTCTGTTATGATGTTGTATTATTTTGTATTATGTTGTAATAAGCCTACAATATAACAGAAATAATAATAGTAAGCGTAGACTATAATATTAATAGTAATAGTAAGCCTAGAATAGAATAGTAATAGTAATAGTAACCCTAGAATATAAAAGTTATAGTAATAATAAGCCAAGAATAGAATAGTAATAGTAAAAGTAAGCCTAGAATATAAAAGCAATTGTAACAGCAATCCCAGAATATAATAGCAATAATAACAGTTATCCTAGAACATAAAAAAGAAACAGTAATAGTAAGTCCACAATATAACAGTGCTAGTAAGACCAAGACTAAAACATAAAAAGGAAAAACATTACCTTGGGCCGTGCGTGTCGTGTGGTCGGCCTGCGTCGCTCTCTCGGGCACCCAGCCTGTGCCTGAGTTATCATGCATCCCGCACTCACCTCCTTGTTCGAATGTGCACTTCATGGTGTCAGTTCCTAGGCCTCCGCTGTTCTCTGTCAGTGTAATAATTATTGGTATTACTATCTTTATTGTCGTTGTTGTCGTGATAGTAAGAGTAGTAGTAGTAGTAGTATTTGTAGTAGTAGTAGTAGTAGTAGTAGTAGTAGTAGTAGTAGTAGTAGTAGTAGTAGTAGTAGTAGTAATAGAAGTAGTAACAGTAATAGTATTAATAGTAGTAGTAGTAGTAGAGAAAAAAAGAACGGTGAAAGCTCTCGGCCACTATTCTCACCGGGGCAGATAGACGGCGTGAAGAGTATGTCGTCGAGGGCGATGTTAGCGAGCGGGTTGATGCCTTGGATGCCCACGATCTCGATAACGAATATCGAGGACGAGGCGATGCCGAGGTAAGCTTCCGTCCAGTTCGAAGTCTAAGCGAAAAAAATAGCGATTTTATAAAGTTTTTTTTTTATATGTTGGAGATTTAAAAGGACGAGAGAGAGAAAATGGATTGAGATGGGCATTGTGAAATAGTACGCGATACTTGAATGAATGATTTTAATATTCGTCATCATGTACGGATATTCTTTCATCAAGAATCAGGAGAAAAAAACGCTTAATTCATTTCCCTGAATTTCATGCGAACATAAATCAATGCTAATTAAATATATCCCTGTTGTCTCCTCGTACCTGGAAGCCCGTCCTTTGCCAAATGTTGATATTATCAATTTCAGTCTTCAGGTTGATCTTCAGAGTACCAACATCTGTACCGTCCATGTGGTACCAGAAACGCATGCACAAGTCCTGTAGGTTCGAGCCAAGGTAATTGGTATGCATGGATAGTTGGTAATAAGACTTTGGTGATTTGGTGGTTAAGGGAAATCATATTTGTGTTGTCTTAGTTAATGGTTCTATGTAGCTGCACTTTCATATACTAATTCATTGATTGTTTTATTTCAGTACTTTTAATGTTGAATATATCCTATATACGCTGTGACCACTCTGTTCTCAAGCATTCTCATAATAAAACAAAAGTATGGATAAAACGTATTCAAGATAAACGAATTAACGTCATTGACTTATGCCAATATTCGCACGTAAAGACGGGTCGAAAAGGCGTGAGGGCTGAGAACTTACCTCCGTGGCCGAGAGTTCAGGACTGATGAGGGTTGCTTCGCCCTTCATGTCTCCAACAGTGGGCGTGAGTGTCATGAAATACCCATCGACTGGAGAATTAATGAACGCAAATTAGGATAATTCGAAGTTGCAATAAATGATATTTACACTACCAAATTTGTGTAGAAAATGATAGACATAGAAAAAAAGAAAAAAACGTGACATGGAAGAGGAGAGTGAGAAGAAACACATACAGTATGTATACATATGTATGACAGAAGCCCCTAAAATATACATAGTAAACCAGTCCCGTCACCAAAGATCCAATACTCACTAGCGGTGTGATCACTAAGTGGCCCCAAGTAGTGTGTGTGGACTATGCCGTCCAAGAGGCTCCAGGTAACGTCTCCAGGTTGAGATCGCCATTCGCAGAAAGTTTGATCTCCGAAATCACACGAGGCGGTAGCAGGGGAGACTGGAAATCGTGGTTTTCGTTTGTGGTTAATTATGTGTTTGTGTGAGCGTACTTATGAGCCGCATACTCGAAGACATTGGCGGGATTTCAAGTCAATTTTCAACACAACGCAATATGTTAAAGGAGATTGTTATTCGTAGTAAGCAAAAGATTTTTGTCCCTTGACTACACTATATCTCGAAACCTCTTTAAGCATACAACTGTATGAGCATGATACAGAATATTATGCACACTCTTCTGTAATAACTATCACTAACAGTTACGGAAGTGTAAAGACAGTATACCTGTTGGGCGAACAGTAGACGGCGGGGCAGGTGTGGTGACAGGAACAGCATCAGGTGGCATAAGGTGGCACTCCGCCGTGATCAGCACCTCGAGGTCATCCATGCTCACCAGGCCATGGGTGTGGCCATCTGTCCAACTGCCTGCTAAGCGGGTGGCGACCATATTCACCTGGAAGAGAGCGCATTGTAAATATTCACTGATATTTCCTAAACCAAATGCCGTTACAGTTCGGAAGAAATGCTAGACATTTGATTAGTTAAACATACTGTATATAATCATCTCTCTCTCTCTCTCCCGTGTGTGTGTGTGTGTGTGTGTGTGTGTGAGTGTGTGTGTGTGTGTGTGTGTGTGTGTGTGTGTGTGTGTGTGTGTGTGTGTGTGTGTGTGTGTGTGTGTGTGTGTGTGTGTGTTTCGATATTACCTGAAGACTGTCGGCTTCTTCGGCCGTGATGGGGAACTGCCCCTGCGCCCACTCCTCGCCCGCGGTGCTCGGCAGCTGCCACATGGCCGTCGGGGTGTGGGCTCCGGGGCTCTCAGGTCCCGGGGCGACCGTGGCCACGAACGAGGCCGGGGCTTCCTTCTCCCGCTTGTACCTGCGCGCGGATTCGAAAACGTGTCATGAATTTCGACCTCGCCTTACTCATCTATTCTTCTGTTGATTTATTTAGCTGTGCAACGTGTTTATTCTACTTAAGTGCGCTTTTACTTCAACGTGGATTATACAAATGCGTTGGTAAGATAGGTACGATTATTATGGTCAGTACGATATCATACAACAAATAGTTTGATAATCTACCATTACCTAGGGCTTCATGTTGAGTATTCTTTGAAAGCCTCTCATTGTTTCAAATTACAAAATAGAATAAGTTTCTGCATAATTTCGGCAGAGGCGCCACCACCCAGCGCCACAGTGAATAAAAAAGTGAAGAAATAAAATAAGGAAAATGAAAAACGGGGCAAATGAATGATCTTACCAGAATTTGACGCAGTTGGCATCCGGTTCGAGAATGGGTGAGGTGAGTATGGCCTTCTTCCCTTCCATGCTTGCTCTTGGCGTGACGAACATGAGGTGGGTGGGCGTGAGAGGCCCCAACCCGCCCTCCATCTTGCCGAAGACCCACTCGAGGTTACCCGTGTTAGTCCATCCGCAAACGCCGTCTTCGAAGTCACATTTGCCTGCAGGACACCAGGTCAAATGATTATCAGTTTCCCAATATGAGAATGTTACTTATCAATATGTTGCTTTATTTTCGGTCATGTAATTTCGAAAAGTTCTGGTACGCATCAACTTTCCGAATCTCCAGAAGGCGCTCATAAACACACCTTTCACAGGGCAGCTCAGGGAGTCGTCAAGGAGGATGTCATCGATAGCAATGTAGCCGTAACGTGTCTCCCCTGAATAAGCCTCGAACATCACGCGACCTGTCTTGACACCGATGACCTCACCTGCGCCAAACCTCCACTCCATGCCCGTGCCACCTGGGGATCCAATTCACCGGCATTGGTAACAGTGTCTGTACGTGCCCAGTTTACGTTTCTAAAGTAATATTCGTTGGTAGTATATCTGTATTTGCTTCAGGAGAGTTGACAAATTTTGATTTTTTTTACCCCATATTTCACTCGTAATCGGAATATGAAGAGAGTATTTTTTTTACAGAGAAAAGAGTTATATATATCTAAAACATGAAATCAAAAGACAACGACAACTCGGCAACCCCCAGTACCCTTACCAACAACAGAGAATATGATTTCCTCCGTATCATTGGCCATCGCTCGGAACAGGGTGATGTCTTGCGTCTCGAACTGATACCAGAAGGTGAGGCAGTGGGAGCTACTGGTGAAGGAGGGACCGTACATTTTCGCCTTCTGACCCGCCTCTGAAGCTACACTGAAGTCCGCTACTACGAAGTAACCTAAGAGAGAATCGACAAGTGACACTGAAATGTGACTTTCTGTATGTCTTTTTTCTGCTTCTTCTTTCTGTTAATATATTATTGTTTATTATTGTTATTATTTGCTTTGTTGAAGAAATGCGAAATGGCTAACCATGATAATAAACACGCCACTTGTTACTTATTATTTAAGTTTCCTTCCAACCATTTAACCATCAGTTTAAGCTATTAAGGGACAAGCCAAGAATGGACTAACCGTATTTAGACTGGTAGGTGTGGTCCTCGATAGCGTACTTGTAGTTACTGTGCTCGGCCGATTCCCGGTAGAACTGGAAGTCGGTCAGGGATTTATCTGCGTAACCTGCCGCGGACGAAAGGATGGTTTATATATTGGGGTGGTGGTTGGTGGTGATGGTGATGATGATAATGATGATGATGATGATGGTGATGGTGATGGTGATGGTGATGATGATGATGATGATGGTGATGATGATGATGATGATGATGATGGTGGAGGTGATGATAATGATGATGATAGTAATGATAACTATAACGATACTGACAGTGAATATATTGCAGATCTAATATAGAATACCAATATAAACCTATTAGTATAACAAAGAGAATAACAGAAATATAAAACAAAACACAAAACAAAAAAAATATAATAAAATGCAAAAACAATATAGCACAATAAGACCCGACCAAAAAAAAGAGAAAAAATCAGACAAAAGATGGCGTTGGCCGCTCCCTTACCACCACAGTATCTGTCGTTCGTTCCCTCGTAATCGAAGTCGCAGGAGTGGCTTCGGACGGGGCAATTGCCTGCCGTGATGCGAATGTTGTCCAGCAGGATGATCGAATCTTCGCCCGTCACCTGCACCTCCCATTCCAGCTGAAAAATCGTATTCACTTATCAGTCTATTTGTTTATTTGTGTATCTATTTATTTAGTTAGCTATTTCGGAGGTTATTCGTATTATATTCATGTCTATATTTTAGCACACATAAACATACTCTCTCGCTCACACACACACATACACACACACACACACACACACACACACACACACACACACACACACACACACACACACACACACACACACACACACACACACACATACACACACACACACACACACACACACACACACACACATACACACACACATTCACCCACATACACACACACACATATATATGTATATAGGTATACATATATTAATTTCCACACCACAAGGCATTTCAAGCTATCTAGACCAGAGGGCAGCGCACCGTGTAATCCGTGCCTGAGTCGATCTCGGCGTGTCCCTCGAGCCATTCGGGGACGGTGGTGTGAGTTCTGCGCCAGATGCTCTCACTCCGCTGCCCCGGGAAGGAGTAGAACAGCATCAACTCCCCGGGTTCACTCCCCAGAGTTCGGTACCTATGAAGAGCAGTTAGCCAGGGTGGTAAATAAACTTACTTAACTTAACTTAACTTATGAAGGCAGAAGAATTAGAACGTACCGTCCCATGAGATTGAACTGAACTGATGGAACTGAATTGAAGAGTTTATTGATTTATTCTCGTTGTGAGGAGCTATGGAGGGTTTTTATAAGGATTAGATACAATGAAGATATTAATAGCAGTTTTATCACTACTGGGGGGGAGGGGGAAGGTCAACGTTTTACAGTCTTCTTCAGACAAACCATAACTAACACGCACCTGAAGGAGACGCACTGGTAGCCCACGTAACTCACAGCCGGAGTGATGACAACCGCTCGACTGCCTCGAGACTTCCCTGCAGAATCTACCAAGAGGTATCCGCCCGGAGGCAACTCGAAGTCGTCCTCCGTGTGTTGGTATTCCCAGTCGAAGTCGTCGGATGTGGCTTGCTCTATGTTGCATTTGTTGATCTCGAAGTCGCATTCGAAGATGACGGTGACTGCGCGGGAGAAATGGGATGTCTTCAGTTCTTTGGATTGTTTTATTTATGTTGTTTTTTGTCCGTCTGTTAAATTGCATATGTAATTTCTCTTTGGTGGATTTGGGGATAAATTCAGATATAGGTATCTGTAAGGAAATTCGAAGTTCCCATGATACAATATCGTTAAAATATATATGGTCATTATCATATTAAATTATACGTAATACAGCCAGGAATTTCCAATGTTCATAAATGGGTTCCATTTTGATGTATGTTTTATCATTAAGAAAACATACATATGATATAGCTTCAACCGGACAATCATTTTTTCCACTTTTTCTCAGGCACTTTTCTAAAACGACAACAAACTCTGTAAAGCATGATATAGCTTCAACCGGACAATCATTTTTTCCACTTTTTCTCAGGCACTTTTCTAAAACGACAACAAACTCTGTAAAGCATTGTTTCCCTCGTCGAGAAGACATTCCCACCGAGACCCACCTGGCGAAGGCGTGGTGGTAGGCATGGCCGTGGGAGTGGCGAACGGAGGCTGCATCCCGCACTCGCCAGTCAGAGTGTTGAGGTCGTCGACGGCGATCCAGCCATCGGCGAAGGAGCCCGTGACGCCCTCCACAACCAGCTCGAACTCGCGGGTTCCTGAGGATCCGGGGATTCCCACCTGAGGAGACGGAAGGGTCGTGAGTGGGAGAGTCAGTTGTAAATTGAAACTAGGATTACAGTATTTGCTCAAAATTTTATTCTATTTTATTCTCGATTCGGCTTCATGATTTTTTCTTCTTTCAAGGAATCTTTTTCTTCGTTTTGTCGATACTTAACATACATATGATCTAGTCAGGCTTATTACGCGTAGACGTTACAGCAATTACACACAGACGCTTTCAAAATACAGATGTCTCAGTTAAAGAATATATTCCAAAGCAACTCCCCCTCAGAAGGCCTCTACAGTCGCATCCCGCAGCCTTCGTGCTCTCACCTGGCCGCTGACCCAGTTTTGCCCTTGGTCCCCTGACAGCGCCCACAGGAGATCCTTGCCCTGGTCGGTGCGAACAGACACGTGCAGCTTGGCGTCGGGGTCCCCACTGAGGGAGAAGTAGAAGGAGAAGCAAAATCCGTACACGTCCACGGGGATTCGTCCGCTCACGAGGGCCGTCGACATCCCCAAATGTTCCCCGTAATCCTCGACGATCATGTAGCCTCCTGTAGATTGGTTTGGAATTATTGTTGATACATTTGTCTTAAATACCATACTTACAAGGTTGTCCGGTGCGAAAGACTGTAAAACTAACTGTCAAAAAACTGTCCCGTTTCCAAACAGCTTTATTCTTAAGACACAAAGACCTTTTTTCGTTCCGCTTAAGGCGAGAGGCCCTTACCTGTCGTGGTGTTCGTCGTGTGGTCAGTCTGAGGGCCATGGTCGTGGCTCTCTTGGCCGTCCGTGAGCTGCCATGCCAGGTCCTCGTTAGCTTCGACGTGCCACGAGCAGAGGTTGGCGTCTTCAAAGGCACATGAACCAGGCTGCGAGGAAGAGGCATGGCGGGTTTCAGTGGAATGACGTGGGTTGCGTACATACCTTTACAATCATGGCAGTCAATACGAGTCACTTCTTAGATCCTCTGATGTATACCACGAAAGTACTTTTCACACTGATAATAAAATAACAGAATCTCTCTCTATACACTCCATCAAAATAAATCAATAAAAAAATAAAAAAGACATACTCTAGGACACGCGCTGTTGGTGAGAGAGAAATCGTCCACAGCCACCACGGACTCGCCATAGTCAGGGTCGGTCACGCCC